AAAGAAAAAATTTAAATACAATAGATGATGACATGACTTCGAAATTCCGATTTCACCTTCATAAAAGACCATTCCGAATAAAATTATGAAAATGATGTTGTTTAATCCAAATACAGAGCCTGAAGTCATAATTAAAAAAGAATTTGAAAATTTGAATGAGAAAATAGACGAATATATTGGAATAATTTAGAAAGGAAAAAGTTCAAAGTTAAAGAACCCAAAAATATACGATAACACCATAGGGATTAAAAAGGCGATAGAAAAATTTGTTTCATTTTCCGATTCTTCGTTCAGGCAACATGCTGCTATAGAAGCAAAAAAAACATTTAAACATGGACAGAAGAAGTATTTATAGAAGAATTATACCTAATGAGAAATTGTATAGAAACTGCCGATATTGACCGGCCAGGATTATTTGAGAAAATCTTTGAATTTTCTATCAAGTTAATCGAGGCTGAAAGAACAAATTATTATTCTTTCTCCAAATCCGATATGGTTGAAAAGGCTAAAATATTGGGAGTTAAAAACAGGTTGAATAAAATTTCTTCTAAAAAAGAATATTTTCACGTAATCGATTTAATTATATTCTAATTTCTTTATAAAGAAGATTTTCAATCTAAACTAAAAGATGGTTATGTCTTATACGTATATTTTTTATTTGAAGTACTCGAGACGCAATTTAAAAAAATTTGTTAAAATATTCGGATTTGCAAAAACACACAAAAACTTCCAGATATACGCAAACATGAACATTGAATTCGAGAGCTGCCTTTTTTATTCAAGATTTACATTTTCAATCATTTTATTCGGATTCAGAGGAAACAATTTACGAGCCAATTTGTATTTCTCTTTAAGTACATTGAGTTATTATGTTATTTACCAAAAGAGCATACTTTGATTTTTAAAAATTGTTTTTTCAAAATTTTAGTCAATATAATGTTTTCTCAGTGTTTTTATACTGATGATAAAGACGTCGTCGCTTTGTTACATGCTGTTCTTGATTTGGAAAATGATGTTCTAATGCGGGCCACTGATGTTAATTTAACATACAAAAAAGTTTATGATATTTTTTTAGGACATTTAAGCAATAGTTTTTTGTAGAGTAACCTTAAAACATTAAGAGTTTATCACTCAATTTACGAATTTGAGCTCGGTAATGAAGTATTAAAGCGAATACATGATGAAATAAACTTTTCAAACAAAGTAGATATCATCGCGCTCAGAGAATTGGATCAAAAAAAGTAGATGAGGATGATGATTACAGCCTTTATTGTTTATGAAACAATTAATTCAAAATTTAACTAAATTTGCAATTCGTCTCAAATGTATTCTAATTTGTGCAGACTTTCTAAGAAGCAAAACGAAGGTATGATTCGTTTTATTAACACTATATTCCCATCATGATATAAGAATAAAAAGAAGTACGGTTTTTTTGTTTCATCTTTTTTTATTTTAAGTTATTTTATCGAATTTTTATTTTTTTAAAAAGTGACTTAAAATGCGTTTTCATTTGATAAATATTAAAGGCTCTTATGAAAATATATTCATTTTTTACTCATTTTAGGTAAAAATTTATTCATATTTCTCGTTAATATCACAGCAAAAATTTTATTTTTTTGATCAGTTACATCTTTTTGGAAAATATAATATTTATTAAAACCAAAAAAGGTAAAAACTTTTAAAAAATAATGTTAAATTATATTAATACATTTAAAAAATATAAACTAAATGATCAAAGTCCAAGTGAACGATCTGTAATCTTAACAGAAAGAAAAATATTTTTTAATTTTAACACTTCTTTTACCGTCAAACTTATTATATATCTTGGTCTTTGAAAATGAAATTTGTGTTAGTTACTTACTTTGAGCTTGGCTTCCCTTCGGATCTTTGCAGATCAACTTTTTCAAATATTTCAACCTACCTTTATAAGTATCTTTTAATATAGGTAGCATCATCCGAACGTTTGAAATACAAATAGACTTTGCTTTTGTATGAAGTATTTGTAGAATGATAAATTATGATAGTTTATTCAAACATATCTTGATTCTGATTTCTAATACCTTTTTTCATCATCTTTTTTTTAGATTTTATACATCCATTGTCTTTTAATCTCATATTATTTAAATATAATTCTATTTTAAAACACAGAAGTTTATTGTTTTAAAATTCAGCTCAATATGCTTAAAATTTTTATAATTGTTTTTAATATATTTTATATTCGCCAAATCTTTACATTAAATCTAGTAAAAAATATTATTCTATATCTTCTTTATGAGAGTTTTTAAGGTTGCAGTTGTTTCATTGAAATTTTTTTAGAAGCATGTAAATAAATTCTGAGTATAGTTTGCTCAACCAATTACTTTAGGTAGATGATTGGTTAAGTACAGACGAAATGATTGTGTTGGAACTTCTATCAAAACACTTAGAAATAGAATTCGGTTAATATATATTGCCTCTATTTTTAAAATGAACTCTTAGGTAACCTTTTCGACCATTATTTGGAATTAAACGAGATTTATAATTTTATTCTTACTCCAGGTTTTATGTTCCTATTATTACACCATGGAGGGCAATAAAAACTTAATTTAATAGTTTAAATGTGGTTATTCTCGACCAACATTAGACGTTACAAGTGTAATTAAAACTATAACTTATTTATTCATTATATTACCTTTAACGTAACTCGATTTTATTCCATATATTTCTCACTAAGCTATTGCATATATTCAATTCTTTTATAATAATCCATGGCTAGTTTATAACTAAATACACATTTCTCTTTGAAGAGAAAGTAAACACAGTGTGTGTTGTATATGATTTAAAAACGATATTTTTAATTGCGGTGAATTGTGCTCTTTCTTTAATTAAAAAAGATATTTTTGTGAGGTTATATTGCTTTATCGAATAATTCTGAACCTGGAATTCATGATTCAATAGTAAAACAATCTTTTATCATGTCCTACAATTATTTGAATGTTCTAATGTATCTGAGAAAGATTTGAATTTATAGTTTCCTAATTTTCGAGATTTTATGAAACTTCTGGCCGATTTTGCATTTCCTCTTGTCTTCTGACTACTCTATAATGCAATTCTCATCAATTAAGCATCAGAAGCCTAATAAATTTAATTCCGTGATAAATTCATATGCTAGAAATTATTTGCGTCAATATTTTGAGAAATTCTCTATGTATTATCTTCTAAAGTGTGAATGATTTCATCTATGATGAATGCTTCGACATGGAAACAATTCATGACTACAACTTCTCCGAAATGGGTTTCTCCGTCTCTATATTCGTATTTATGTTCAAACTTAGGTATTTTTTTAAAATTTTCGAGGGTATATGTTTCCAATACTAATAAGGTGGGAAGTTTTTCAATCGGTATGAGTGTTTAGGTTTCACCGTGTCAAGCTTCAAAGCAAAAATAACACCTATTACACGGGTTAAATAATCGAAGTAATTTCACAAGAAATAACTTGATTCTAACTGGATTGTAATAAAGGTTTCTTATGCGCTTTTCGATGCCTATAAAGAGAATTACTTTAACTTAAAGTCTTTCCTCTTCAAGATATTTCTTAAATTATCGCGATTACACGCTTCAGAATCCTTTCAGTTTCTGCTGTTTTTTTATCTAAATCCTGTTATTATACATGCAAATTCATATTAGCTTCTTTCAATATATTTAATTCGAGATCAGATATTTTTTTTAATAAATAAGCACTCACTTTCCAATAATCCAAAGAATTCATCAATTATGAAAGTATAGCCCTCTCTAAGGCCTTAAAGGATAGAATATGGTTTTATCTTTAGAAATAAATCTTCTTGGAATCCTATATTTACAGGTAGCTATTTTTTTTGACAAACTGAATTGCAGCGGGATCTAAGGACAGCGTACTCTTTAAATATTTTCCAAAAAATATATTATAGCAGTGTTCTGGTCTGGGTTGGCGGATAGACGGTTTCTTCAAGAACCACAATTTTCGGCTTATAATCTCTCTGAATATTCTTAAACCACCCAGAAAGTCGTAGATTTGCAAAAAAAGCTGATAATTTCTCATTAATGTCTTTTTTTTACAGTGAACTTAAATAGGCTACTTTGATTTTTCCCAGCCTTCGAAGCACATAATGTTTATGTTACAACTGTCATCATCATCTTCGGCACTTCAGTCCTACACGAGTCTTAACCCTCCTCACTAATACCGCCTATCGGTCTCTTTCCAATGGGTTCGTTTCGTTTTTTGATTTTCGTAACAAGGTGATTTTAAAGGGTAAGTTTCTAGCTCCACGTCCAACCTCAGCCAAAGGACTGGTCCTTTTTAGTCGTCTCTTACGACAAACAGTGAATATTCCCAGCTAGTTCTGCTCCTCGCATGATGGGGAAATGGTTTTCTTCATACATATCATATTTATCTAATAAAAAACGTTTGATTGGTACTTTACAGAATGTATTTAATATAAATTATGTAAATAATCCAGAATTGGAAGTTAAAACCCAGAGAAAAGGGATTAAATGCGAAAAATATAATCAAAGTGCAGTTTTGAAATACTTTCAAAAGCACAAATAATACCATAATTACTTTATATAGAAGAAAATTTTTTACTAGATGTTTTAAACAAAACAAATGCTTAACTACATTGTTTTTTCTCATAAATAGATTGAGAAAACACAATATTTTTAATGATATGCTTAATAGATACGTTTAAAATAAAAAAATTCAACCTTATACTTATATTATTCATATAAGAATTTTAGCAAAAATTCGAATTTAAGTAAAAAACTTTAAATGCTAAATAATAATATATTATATATTTATGAACTTATAATAATTATTGATTAATTGAAATCTATTTAGGTTTGTTCTAAAATATAAAATATAAAATAATGTTTATTCTCAAAGATTTAAATTTATAACAAATTTATTCCAAAATTTAAATTTATATAAAAATAAAGTACTTCAAAATTAATTAATTATTAATTAGAAATTAAAATGATAAAAAGAAGGGCCGAGCCGGGGATCGAACCCGGAGCCTCCTGCACCCAAAGCAGGAATTATACCATTAAACCACTCGGCCTTGTCTAAACCTTAATTAATACACTAAATAAAGTAAAATACACGTAATTTATTGTAGAGCCAATAATTTTATTTAAAAAGTTATATGAAAAAATCTTTTGAAATTATATATGTAGAAATATTTAGAGATTCTCAAACTTTGTTTCAAATAAAAATTACTGTTTTAAATTATAAAAAAAATGCGAATTTCAAATAAGTTGAACTCTATTCTCACAAATTATAATAAATTTATTTTTTTTATACCAAATTTACGTTTTAAAGAAATCCAGCGATTTTTAAATGTGTAGAATCCGATTCTTAAACATAAAACAACCTGAAACATTGTGAAACAAACATCAAACCATTCATCATTTCTTAAATAACAAAGCGATATAAACAAACAAATGAAAAGAGACTGTACATCTGAGAAGGATAAAAAGAATATTTCGACAAAAAATCCCAAACTTAATTCTACTCTAAATCACATCTCAAACCCAAGTCAATTTACCCCACCAAGGAACAAAATAATCGCTTACTTCTTTTCATTCTTTTTATTTTTAAAGAACAAATTTAATTTTCATAAGATATTAACTTCCATAATCTACATTTTATTTCCACGACTCAAGCAATTCAACAAACTTGTTTCTCCTAGACCAATCCAACCCCTCTATTTACATTCCCCGTCTTCTTCTTCTTCCAAAAACACTTTGAATAGAGAAATAATCAAGGAACAAATATCTCAAAACAACCACAGTAAGACTTTATCTCGTTATAGATTAAATAAAAAGTCCGGCGAGATAAAGATTCGAAGCTATTTCATACCAACCAATTTAATTCCATCACCAATAATATTTTTAATCTCAATATTTCAAATATTTGCTGCTCAAGACTTCCTTAACCAATGCACTCTTTATAATATACCGATGAATGACTGTCTCAGTTCTCACTATTACCCTTCTCAACAATTTGACAACTTTGTTCATTCGTTTAATCTTCCTATATTTAAAGATCCCACTTGTAATACAAGAAAATGTTATCTTTTAATAAACAACGCAGACCCACATACTTGTAAAGGATCGGAGTGTAATAATAGTATTACACTTACACCCTGTAAAGGACAGAACTGTCCCACCCCGCCATTTGATTCCTGCCAAGCACCAAACTGTAATAACAACACTCCAACCAATACGACCCCTAACACACCCTCAAATACACCCACAAACACATGCCAAGGACCAAACTGCTCTTCTATCGTTACTGTCACTCTCTATCAAACAAAAACAGTCACAATTGACACTCCATTTACTCTTTTTAGAGAAATAACTTCAACTTTAACCGCAGAACATCTAATAACTCGTTATAAAGTCACAACACTAACATCAACTCAATTCCAAACAGTAAACAACACCCTAACTGATTTCAAAACAACCACCGACTTTAAGACAGTAAACAACACCTTAACAGATTATAAGACCACTACAGACTACAAGACGGTAGATAACACCCTCACTGATTATAAGACCATTGATAAGACAATCACAGACTTTAAGACAGTAAATAACACAATTACAGATTATAAGACTATTACGGATACAGAAACAGACACCTTAACAACAACCATAACACTTCCTAAGAGTATAACAAAGGTTAAGCATAAGCATATTACACACACAGTAAATAACACCCTGACAGAGACAGTTACTGATTATAACACCATAACAGACTATAAGACTGTAAATAACACTATTACTAAGATAAAATCCTTTACTGATTATAAGACTGTAGATAACACTATTACCAAGGTAAAACCCTCTACATTATATAAGACAGTAAATAACACCATAAGTATTTCAGAGTCTCTTACCAGTACAAATGCTAAGAATAACACTGTTGATTATAAGACTGTTAATAAAACCATTATTAAGACAAACCCCGTAACAGTAAATAACACTATTACTGATTATAACACTGTTACTGACTATAAGACAGTAAATAACACCATTACTATGATAAGACCCTTTACTGACTATAACACTGTTACTGATTATAAGACCCTTAATAATACTATAACAGAAATAAGACCTTTTACTGAGTATAACACTGTTACTAAGATAAAACCCTTTACTGATTATATGACTGTAACAGATTATAAGACTGTGAATAACACTGTCACTGATTATAAGACTGTTGATAACACTATAAATGATGTTATAACTGAGATAAAACCATTTACTTTTACTGTTACTGAGATATCTTCTGTTGTTAAGACTGTTCCTAAGAATAAGACCCGTTATAATACTAGAACAGTAACAAAGGGTGTTACTGTTGTTAAGACTGTACCTGTTATAAGTACTGTCACTGAGAGTGTTATTAAGGAAAATAGTAAAATAACACCTGTTAGTACCAGTGAGACTATGCCAATGGCTAACACCTTTTGTCAGACATGTACTGTTACTGATATAACACCTGTTAGTACTCAAGCCGATGTTACGTCAATTAACACCCTTTGTCTTACTGAATCAAGTCCAAAGATAACACCTGTTAGTAGTAAAGAAAAAGGTACTGTAACTAACACACATTGTGAGACATGTACAGTTACTAAGATAACACCTGTTATTTCTACAGACATTATTCCTGTAACTAACACCCTTTGTGAGACATGTACAGTTACTAAGATAACACCTGTTATTACTACAGACAGTATTCCTATAACTAACACCCTTTGTGAGACATGTACAGTTGCTAAGATAACACCTGTTATTACTACAGACAGTATTCCGGTAACTAACACCCTTTGTCTTACTGATACTATTACAGATAATATAACAAGAACTAGAACAAAAACAGTAATTAAAACGATAACAGACAGGGAAAGAGAAAGTAGTGAAATACCAACGAATGAAAAGAAGAAATATACAAAAACAATAGCAACAACTGTAAGTAGATCAGATATGACACCTTTAATAGAAACAGTTCCACAAGAAAAAGAGTGCTTAGAGTGCAAACATGTTACTATAACAACGTATTTGGATAAAAGAAAGAAGAAAAGAAAAACGGTTGTTAATACTATTTATGCTAAGGAGAGTGTTAGTTCGTGCAATAAAAAGGATAAAAGTATTTGTTTGGATGAAAAAGGAAAGGAAATTGTTACAACAATTTACGTTGGGTAAGGAGGTCAGTGTTGATAAATCATAAAACATATACAGTTAATTAAAGAGTTATAATATTAATTTTTCTTGATTAAAAATGTGCTATATTATTTTTAATTTAGTTAATACATAATACTATAAAAGTTTAAATTTTTTTGATCTACAAATACATCAAAATGAATAAATAATATTTTATTTCTTATTTCTTTGTATTTATTTGAGGCTGCACTATTTATATTTATTGTTATATTCTAATGCATTTTCCTTGTCATAATTCCTATTATTTGCATTTCTGTGGCAAATGTATCAGTAATAACTATAGTTTTATGCATCTACGATTATATGTCCAATATTATACATTTTAGATAAATGAATTATCATTATAATATTAATCATGCTTTAATACATCTTGTTACTCAAGAGTTTAATACTTACACTTGTTCAAAGATCGTTTGTTTTTGAAGAGTTTCTAATGTAAAAATCTTTGATTGAGCATTTCATGTATAATAAATTTATTTCTTTGCCTCTTAACTATTAACGATCCATTATACGCAAAACTAGTAATAATTTGTAGACATTCATCGTGTAAAAAATCACAAAAAAATTTTTCAAATTACGCATTTCTGAACATAGCATATGTTTATAAAATCATGAATCTATTATATAATTTTTCAAATCTTTTAATAAAGTTATAATGCTTGTTACTATTTAGATATCGAATTTTTAACTAATATTAGATATATTTATATTCTATTCTAAGTTTTTATATTTAAAATTTCATATATTCTAATAGAAATACCTGTAAATAGATTTTCGGAATTATTGTAACCATATGTATCAATTTTTTAGAAATAGCTTTATTTAATTCAGATACATCGTTTTTTAGTCAATGAATGCCAAATTTCTTTATAAGGGGGGAATGTCTTATATTGTTTTCATGTCATTATGCAGTTCTGGTTTTGACATAGATAAATGCCCCGTCTTAAAAACCATCTTTATTCCGAAAAATAACTAAATTGCAAAGCAGTTCATTAAAAAAAATGTAAACCAATTGATTAACAAGATAGTTTCCTGTGTTGTTAAGCCCGTGGTTGGAGTCTGATTGAAAATTGAAAAGCATCATAGGCTGCAAAACCAGCAGAATTTCTACTTATCCGACACTTCCAAATTGTTTAAGATTAAATAAGATATATCTCGGCGACTTAAATGAGGTTTTAGACGTTGCAATGCCAGACCAAAAGATAAAATCTGGCATTTAGCTTTTAATCTGTAAAATGTTTTATATTTGTATCTCATAAGCGCCAGGACTTCTAATCTGAGCTGAAAGCCTATATTTCCATGATTTTACACGACCATTACTACAAACTTATCGCTATCTTTCAATCGGTTTACATAAACAACTACAACTAACTTTATAAAATTTTCATATTTTTGTAGAGTCTCGCCTCCTTAAACAAATTCTTATCGAAATCAACCAAAATGTAGTATGATTTTAATCTACTAAAAATCCAAATACTGACTATTATATTGATTTCACATAATCATCAGCAAAAAGATAGCTGTAATGTTGTAACCCATTCTGTCTCTTTCTATCATAAAATTATTTCTTATACAAAGGATTTTTTTAGCGGTATCAAAAGACACCTTTATTACCTATAGATTTAACAAAAATTGTTGTATTCCATTATTTTTCCCGCTTTCGTTTATTACATTTAGTTGCTAATTACATTAATTAACGTAAAAGCAAACAAATTAAAAGGATAAAAAAACCAAATATTGGTAAATCTATGTATTTTTCAAAGTTTATTTTAGTAGCTTAGAAGTAATTATTTTCCTTTTTATGACATAAGATTAAAATAAAGAAAGTCCAAAT